GTAGTTTTTGAATATGTAATTTTTATTTTTTTAATTTCATACGATTTTTCATATAAAATGATTTGAAAATAATTTCAGTCAAACATCGTAACGTGTAACAGGAACATTATTGTTGGATGCATGGAGTATATATAGTTAATTATATATATACTAATAAGATTTTTTAGACGAATGCGCAAGAGATTTAATTTCCTTCATGACTTACTTTTTCCTATTCTATAAAAGTATTGTTTCATATACTTTTCTTTTTCTTTATTTTATTTTCTATTCTTTTTCTTTTATTTTAATTTTGATTAAAATAAAAGAAACGGAATAAAATTGATTTTTTAAAAGAAATCAACAACAACCTACTTATGTCCCACGAGAGCAGGGTCTAAGAATGGTGTGAGACCTTGCCCTTACTTGAAAGTATAAAGACTATTTTTAAAGAGACCCTCGGCTCAAGCTTCAAAGATAAAAAAGATTGCAGGAGGTATATAGAGTAGAGAAAGCGCAGATAAATCACAAAACACATAGAGGCATATAACAAAATGAGTAGAGGAAAGAAAAAAACTAGAGAGCATCAAACATACAAGGCATATATATATAACACACAATAAGTACATAAACTACAGTATAGCCTAAAATGTCTACTGAACCACTCTTATTATATCCTAGCTTTCCAAACGCTTCTATCAAAAGTCATATCCTCAATAAGGCCAAGATTGCAAGAAGCCTTAATTCCTGTTCAATCACTTTCTTCAATTTGCATTCTTCCTAAATCTACCCCTTCACCAACCAACATAAGTCTCTCGCTTCTCAGGACTAGGGCGTCGGCATCTCGCCACCCCACATGTCCAAACCGCCTCAACATAGCTTCTCACAACTTATCTTCCACAAGTGCTATGCCTACCCGTCCTTTGATAACCTCATTCAGAATCTTATCCAATCTCTTCTGCCCACTCATCCACCGTAAGATCCGCATCTCTGTAACATGAAGTCGACGAACATCCTAGCTGAAATCCTCATATTGCACAGAACTCCTGATGCCAACCTCCACTTAGCTCAGGCCGCTCCAACACGTTGTGCAACATCCTCGTCCAACTCTCCATCTGTAACACCCTAATCCGTCCAGGTTTACAACCCTTTCCGAACTAAAGTATTAACTTGGTAATCGTATAATTTAAAACATTTCAAATAACTTTATTCATCATAAATGAAATTTCAAACATAATTGTAGTAAATACAGAGTGTTTAATGCGGAAGCGATTTTTAAACAGGATTCATAATAACATAATCATTTATTTTCTCAATAAATCCACCACGACTGTCTCGCCCCTTCCGCTACCAAGAACATGCCATTCACTCATTCTGTCTACTTGCGTGTAGCAAATAAAACATACTACACGCTCAGCGATGAAGCTGAGTAAGCATATCTAAAGCGTCGAACATCCAAATAAATTGAATCTCAATTCATAATCAACCATTTGATATCATGCACACAGTATATGATTCAAACATTCATGATATTCTCAATATTTTATTCCAAGTCATTTGATATTCAATATCTCAACCATGCTCTTAAATTATTCTTAATCTAAGGCCAATTCATTTTATAACAAGCTCTTAGCTATTCCTAGTCTAAGGCATCATTTCTAACCAGGCCCTTAAACTATAAATAGTTTAATGCAGAACACAAGAATCGATAATCCACCCTATGGGTCATGTGGATTACGTACCAACCGAACAATGATTTGTCGGGTGGGTGATATCCGGTCTGGATCCCGTACGTACGTTTTAACCCGAAATATGAATTGGTCAAGTAGGTATATCTTAGAGTTCTTCTAGATATCCTTAACAAT